ATGGAAGGGTAGTGGAGGACGGAGAGCTAGTGCACGTGGGTCTGGGTCAGTTTCTGTTTTCGGTGGTGACGGCGAGCAGCATGGAATGGGAATCACAAACCAACGTACATACATTGCTGAGCGAAAATTCATCATGGGGGGGGGTCGTATGTGTTTGCTGGGGGAGGGGGATCCTACTTGGCTTTGAGAGAATTTTCCGACTGTTGATTCTTCTCCTTTTCAGGCTACCGCTAGTTGGCTCGACAAATCCACCATACTTCTAATATTGATGAGAGGCATATAATCCCTCCCTGCTCGTGGGTGAAATTTTTGGAAAAAAATTGGCGAGAGTTATGTAGGTATTAAGAGGGAGGGGGACTCGTACTGAGGAAGAAATTGGGGAGGGTCGTTCTTATAGCGCCATTTCACGCATTCTCATGCTGTACCTGGTCGTAAACCCAAAGGAATATCAATTGACTGATTTGAAGAATGAGAATGACTTTGTAAAAGAGCATGAAGGTATTCAAGGCAGTTCCAAATATTGCTGATTGTGAGTTTGAAGGGGCATCGAGACAAGTTTCCGTATTGTTAGAAGCTCACTCCACTCTGGATAGATCGATGGGAACTGATAGTCTTCGCGCCTTCTTCACTGGCATCTTCCTCATTCTCACCGCCCTAAAAAAGGGGGGAGCGCTGATAAGGACGGCCTCCTAGTTCTCCGTCTCCGCCCATGCGATCACCATGGACTATACCCATAATGGTTGACAGCGTCGGTGCAGTTCTTAGCAGCGGTGGGCATGGAATTTCTCAACTTCTGGACCGTTAGAAAGGGAAATTGTGTTTGTCAACAGCTGATCCAATATTGGTCTCTGGACAGAGCTCATGCTGAGCTGTGCTTTTTACCACTCATAACCTCGCCCTTGTAATCCAATCAACTCTGGACATTTAGTGGAGAGCGAGCGCCACAGAGTGCTTTGCTTGGCACGGTCGCTATTTCTGTGAGTAACTGGTTCATCGCTAATTCAATGAAATGACTCAGTGATTGGGAACACAGGGTCTGCTGCCTATTTAATTGCTGCGTCATCATGCACTTTGCGGTGAACTCCAACGCGAAGACCTTCCTTTCCAAAAAGATCTCCCATGAATGAACGAGACGTTCTTGTAGTAGTTATGAACTCACCAACTAACTAGGGGTACAGTACTCCGGCACAGTTCGGACACGGGGGCATTTTGCACTTTCGTTGCTTCACTAGTTCCGGTTTACAAGTTGTAACTGGTGAATCCTGTGAACTCTTGTGAAACTGGAGCAAGCAGGGCACTCCATCGCGTTGTGATCATTTCTTGAAAAATACGACCCCCCGATTCCATCCATACGTATAATATCCCCACCCTTCCCCATGCTACCTTACCATTTTCCTAGATTTTCCCAACTTCCTACCACTTATTCCATTTTTCCCGAAAAATTTCTGGTTTTTCCCCAAAATTTTGCTGTCGAGCGAGGGAAGGGGGAGGTCGTCAGGAGGATTTAACTTTCATTTTCAACCCCCGTTGTGGTCATCACAACGATGGCGTGCCCTTGGAGCAAGCTTCGTGAAGCCGTCATGCACCTGTCAACTAGAGAAGAGACTGTCTAGATGGGTCGACACGTCGATGGGAAGTAGCAAAAATGCAAAATCCCCCCCCCTGGTTATCGAACTGCCCCCAGTACTCGTTGAGAGAACAAACGATGGCTTTAAATATCATGTTGAGTAGAGGAACGACCATGCTGTCAACGTGACATAAATCCTCTGCGATCCCTTTGAATGTAGTCCCCTCGCTCAAGCGATTCGTAGGCGTCCTACCTTGTTCAAGTAGCCTGATACAGTCTTTACGTTTTTTCCACCTTCGCGGCTTCACAGTAAATCACAACGGCTGCGAACTAAGTGGCAGTCATGGCGCCTTCCTAGTTATCCTGCCCACCAAAACTCAAAGGCTACTTCTGTCGCGAGTTTAGTTTTGACACCGTGTTTTTTTTCGCTAAGTGGATGACGTGAAGAAAGCTAGAGGCGGTAAGATATCGCTTTGCTGGCATAAAACGAGCAGGTTCGGGAAAGTCGTCTAGAGAGGCTGTCAGGGTCCTTACGTAGGATGTTGAGGTGTTCTCCATTTTTTCTCCTGCTTTTTTTTCTTCACTGCAGAGTCACTTAGCTACTATTGGTTTTGATTGGTATTACGTAAGGCCACTATCCACAAGTATGCAATCGCTGAAGGTATGCTTCAATGAGTGCTCCGAATCACATTAAATTCTCTCCTCCCTCCCCCCCCCCCCCTTCTCACCTATCGCGTCCTGCTTTTTCGGTATTAGAAAACAGGCCTCAAACAGGAAAAAAACCTAGTGTTCGCACAAGAGCTTACACCACCAACCATCAGCGTTTCGAGCTTTCATCAGCGCCAGCGACTAAGAAGTATAGATATCGATCTAGCGAACGCCAGCGTCTACGCGGCCACCAGCATCAGCCGGCGACCATCAGGGACTCGAGGGATTAGGAAAGGCAAGAGTATGGGAGTAAGAGGGGGAGACAGCTGGATTAGGTGTTCGTCAAACGTGTGACATGTACGAGCGCACCGCGATTATCTTGTCACAAGGTGTTCGTACTCGTGATCGCTGGCGCTCGGACGCTGGAGGGCGCTTAGATTTCAATTAGTTCAACTTCCCAGTTCTCGAGCCGTATAGTCGCTGGCGGACGGTGGGGTGACGCAGGTTACACGCACGTCCGTCCGCTAGATCGATATCTAAGACTTCTGGTCGTTGACCGCTTGACGACGCTCCGAAACGGCTGAGATGCGACCACTGGTGGTCGGTGCTGCGCAAAATTATAAATCATCCGTTACTCAAGTCGCGACATTCGCGCGGATATCTGGCAGGGTACGTCTTGGCTGTTTGATTAGGCAGACATGGACACAGATAGAGCTTCTCGACTTGCGAGACGCAGACGCAAAGAGGACCGAGAGAGATGAGGCGGAGTGGCCGTGCCACGTGCGCGTGCTGCGCACGTCACCCCCCTTGCGGCGCCTACTCAGCACGCTCGCCGCAACTGGGAATTCACACTTTAGCCTCGACTCTGGATTTCTGCATTCTTCTGAGCCAGAGCCTCACAGGGAAGGGATCCCTTTGCTACTCCGACTCATAACCCCTCCAATCAAAGCGGACCCAGCCATTTTATTAGAACTCCATTCACTTCGATTGATGTATTGAGCGTTGCGTTGATAAAAAAATGCCGTTACCGTTTCGCAATACGAATTTGTTTATTCCACCAATTTTGTTTTTTCAGGCTACCTGCCATGGCAGTCTACATCTGTGTCGAGTTAGAGTCCATCGTTGGCCTGCCAGAGATCATGAATTGCTTGGTAGGTCAGAAAAGCGTTCACACTTCGCGATTCAATCACTTATCGCGCGATTTGGAAAGGCGCCACTTCACCGCTGATCGTCGGACCGCTGCCACGGTTCCAGGAAGTTTTAGCTTAAATGTGGTTGAATTAGCAACTGAAACAATTCAACCATTAGCGGCAGAGCGCGTTCGGTAGCAGTCGCGCAGAATCACTAGAGCCGCCTCCTAAAGCAGCGTTCAGACTTCGCGACGGTAGCGCTTCGGTCACGCGTTCGACGCGATCGATGCCGAACGCGCGACCGAGCGCTGCCGTCGCGAAGTCTGAACGCTGCCTTAAGGGCTGTGAAGTTACACCAAAGCCATCTAAATTATTACTTTTCAGCTCGAAAAAAGCATCAAATTCACCGTCTCGAAAGATCGTCGAAGTCTTTGCGATACGTGCAGTGCCAAAGACGATTCACTACAGCTGCCAACGTCCACCTCTGTGACACCGTTGGTCCCCACATCAACCCCTTCGTCCGTCTCCTTGGAGCAGATCGAAGCGTATCCACGATCGGAGAGCGTCGATAGCGAAGTCAAGCCCAAGAGCGAAGACTATTCGGCAACGTTTAGTGATGTGAGTGCTTGCATTTGGTCCGCTAGAGAATTCTTGATGTAAAAGTTGCTGGGGTGAGGAGGGGAGGGGAGGAGAGGGAGTGCCATCTGCGTCCGTTCTTTGTCCCCTCTCTCAGCCAAGCATGAAGCAGCATCGGGATAGGTGGAATGAGTATCGTGATTTGCTGCGTCAAAACTCAAACTAAAACGGCCGGGCAGGACAGTTTGTCTGTCGCGTGCGACGTCGCTCGCCACGCCCACCAGCGCGGCATATTGCGATTGTCTTGTTACATACCCGGATGGAGACGAAGAGTGTGTCAAAGGATAGGGCACACTAAAGACTGTCTCCGCCCATTCGGCCAACGTGCACTATCCCTCCAACTCTCTGTTCACTGTAAAGCATTTTATTCAGGCGGTTACTCCAATGAACGACGATATGGACGAGACGGACCTGGTTGCGTGTGGTTCGGAATTGTTGCAGCAGGTTTCTGCCAATTTCTCATCGTATCAGGAGAGACCGAAGAATTTCACCGACAACGAGATGTCTCTGATCCGTGAGAAGGGTGCAGGTAGCGCTCCCAAACAGTGTCAGGTGAGGTGGTTTTAGCTGACAGTGGAATGGATTACCAAGTAGTTCATGCTTGCTTTCAGCTATGCGGCCATTGGATAACTGCTAAGAATGTTCGAGCACATGTGGCGACGCATCTCACCATTAGAAGGTTTGAATTTCTTCTTGTGATTGTAGTAGGTCACTAAAATGCGGAGATGAGACGCGTACGGTCGCGAAGCGGTTATGTAGCCCAGCATCTATAGTTTGAACGAATTGAGCAGGAAAAATTGCGTTGTTCTTCTACGGAAGTAGTCACCCCGCCTAATAAAATTATCACCCATTTCAGGCTCAGGTGCACCCTTTGTGGCCAAGGATTTGACCGCATGAATCGTGCCTCGATACACGTGGAGAAATGCCATGCAGGAGATTCTGGAGCAAAGGTGGAGTCAGCAATGTGAGTACAGCTGCAAGCTTCCAAAACTGTGGCATGGGTTATGGGTTACACAGTACTTAAGTAGTTAGGGAGTGAGGCAGTGGAAGAGACAAGGTCAGGCCCTTCAGCTACTCTACGCTGTCTAAGGTTGAACCTGCTTGGGAGTCGATTTCCGAGGGAACTCTATTTTCGCGCAGTCGAACAGGAAACGGGCGTAGGCAGCGTTCAGACTTCGCGACGGCAGCGCTTCGGTCGCGCGTTCGACGCGATCGATGCGCATGCTTTCGACTGCATCGATCGCGTCGAACGCGCGACCGAAGCGCTGCCGTCGCGAAGTCTGAACGCTGCCTCTACCTTTCCAACTGGCACGTCTATCTTCTTCACTATGGAAGGAGGAGTGGGGCACCAGTGACAGTGACGCATAGATTCCCGCCTCAACCCTTCTGTTTGTGGCGGAGTCCTGGCACTCAGTTGTCTTGGCCAGTTTTCTGACAAACATTTAAAGCGTATGCAGTAAATCAAGTTCCTCTCGATCGGTACCAAGCACCAAAGCTGAGCAGTACTGGATTTTTGCTTTCATTCATTTCAGCTATACCCGGCTTAGGCTCGGTTGGTCTTGCCGGGAGCCGATCCGAGCGAAGTCTCAGAATCGCTTTCGCCCTCGCCAACCAAACCACCGAGTCTTCTTCTCTCCGGGGACGGTGCATTGGGACCAGCTTTATCTGAGAGGATAACAAAACACTGACTTATACATCGGCTGGCCTCGCAACTCATTGCATAAGCTTCATCGATAGGATCACCAAAAGCAAAGACTTGATTCTTTTGATCCTTTTATGCCAGCTATACTTCTTATGTTAGCATAGTATATCCCATAGTCCAGTCCCTCCAACTACAATAGCGTCATTTATACATACGAGGTACCACAGTTCCTTTTGCTGGGGAAGCCGGTGCGATTCAGGAAGGATGGGTCTTGGCGCGGCGCCAGCTCCTTCCCCACCAATTCCAGGCAGGACAGCAGACGCATCCAGGGGCCGTATGCTATACTTCCCCTCGAGGGGGACTTATTCCCCAGCAAACCTCCGCTCTCTGCCGTTATCTCTATCGATGCCCCTCGTCTCTCTGCATCTGCCTCTCTGCATCTTTGCTCCCCCACTTTCGCGAAACGTCCCCCAACGACATGTGCTGGGGGACAGGGGAGCATATCGATTATACTCTGCGCTGCACTATATTCGCACAGAGCATGCGCCAAAAGAGTATGGATGCAGAGCGGCGAGAGCCAGAGGGCACCAGTAGAGATAAAACATACTGTGAGAGACGTGGCAATTTTTACAAGGGGAAATATCTGCCCTCGAGGGGAAAGTATAGCATATGGGGGGCGCCAGCGGGGTGTGGCGCTGCATCACTCAGTCAACACGCTTCTTCTTGCGGCTCGCTTCTTGTTGTGCGTCTGTTTCCTAACACACTAGCCGATGGTGTAGCCCGAGCTGGATCCACCTACCCCATCTGCCACACTTCTGTTCGAATGCAACGGGACTTCTGCGCGCCAATTTGTGGAAGCTGACAAACGAATTGGTAATAGGAAGCGAAAACTGGCTGGCAATGCGCCAAATCAGACGTACGAGAAAAACGGCAGAGCGTCGCGACGGCGACTAACATTGTTGTTCAGTATTGAGAGACATGTTGTATTAAGGACTCATGCGTTCACCGGAATGACTGAGCAAGTATAGGAATCGATAATGTTGGCTCGAAAATGTTTCCCGCGTAGAAATCGATCATCAGCGCCGGCGGAGGAAGCCAAATGTTTACAGTGATAAGCAAAGCTGAATAGATTCTGCCTTTTCTTGTGATAATTTTCGTTTTGTTGACATGCGCGTGATCAGCGTGGACTCTATAGTCGCGAAAATCAGCTCTTTACGGATTACTTCCGTTGTGGTAAATGGGAGGTTCACCTCATGTCACGGGATTTCTTTTTTTTTCCTCTCTAAGATTTCATTTCTCAATGTGATTGATGTTTCATTGCTGCATTTTTTCTTAGCGTTAGTATAGTTGGGAGTGGTGAAGTCGGACGGACACCAGGCCCTGCCCACTTTCTGCTCGTTCCTACTACATCAGATGGGCGATGAGTGGGCGTGGTCTGCTCCCGCCTGTTGCTATGGTCCAGCTAAGCTAGCTCCTCATTCCGGTAGCTGTACCGTTGTACCTTTATGGTGCTCTGTGATTAATGAGTCTAGTTATCCCTAGCGCGTTCAGCGCGTTGACGTAGGCGTCAGGTTTGTCTTGCATTGTATTTCCACATTGCGACGCAACGCGACCACGCGCTAGTTTTTCATTCTTCTGTGAAGGTCGACTCTCGGTTCATATCCTTCGTGTTGTTCTCATGAATGATCGTTAATGTGTTGAAGCAATAAATGAAAGGTTTAAAATGGAAAACAGATTTACAAAGAATGGAAATGCAGAACTTGAGAACAATAATCACCCCATATATATAATTTGCTTTGTTCTGTTTGTTTGTTTGTTTGTTTGTTTGTTTGTTTGTTTGTTTGTAAGTTTGTAAGTTTGTCTGTCCGGAAATTCGGTTCGACCTGAAGAACGACTTGGAGAGGTCGGGTCAAGGTGGGGATGGGTAGGGCATGGGACAAGAAATAAAAAGCACACTTGACGGTGACCTATAGATTTCCCCGCCCGTACGCAGCTGGACGGGGCACTCGCTGAAAGTCTTGGGTCCGCAGAGAAATGTTTCAATATTACAACTTTCCGGAGCTAGCTTTTAAAAATGGGAAATTAACGAGATATATTTTTTAGTGTTTTATGTTTAAGGAGTCCGCCAACTCTAACTGCGTCTTTATGTTATCTATTTACAAATATGGTGCGGAGGCGTACTCAAGGTGTGGCGGTTGCTTTCTGTCTATATTCTATCTATTTGAAAATTTCGTTTAACTCCGGTTCCGCAGAGAGTGATCTTTTTTCTTTTTCGGCAATTCCCAATTAATATTCTTCCACTAGCTTAGAATTGTTATAATATTACGCATGAATATACTCTAGGATACGCTATAGCATATAGTGTTTGTTCTATTTTTACCTTCAGCCCACAGGGGTGGAGGCTGTCTCCTTAAATCTTTGCAGTGGTTTTTTTCATTTGATAAGTGTTAATGTCTCCGTATTCAGAATCACTTTATCCATATATTCATTTTTCCCTATTGTGGATATAATAGGAACTAATTATGTTCAGTCAGAGTTCGCTGTTTTTGTTTATTGGGATTGTGGGGCAAAAACATTGTGGGCGGAGCCTGCTCCGAGGTGGGCGGAGCCAGACAAAAAGGTCTGTAAAACGGTTCCAGAGCACTCCGAAGACCGGAATAAAGTGAATTCAGGTCAGCAAGGGGTCGCCGATTGAGAAATGTGGGGTAGACATATTGTGGGCGGGGCCAGCCCGAGGTGGGCGGAGCCAGACGAAAATTCTCTAAAACTGTCCCAGAGCACTTCAAAGACCGGAAAAAAGCGTGGATTAAGGTCAGCAGAGGGTCGCCGGTGAGGATTATGGGGCACAAAAATTGGGGCGGGCCTGCTCCGAAGTGGGCGGAGTCAGACAAAAGATCTGTAAAACGGTTCCAGAGCACTCCGAAGACCGGAAAAAGTGGATTAAGGTCAGCAGAGGGTCGCCGGTGAGGATTGTGGGGCACAAACATTGTGGGCGGGGCCTGCTCCGAGGTGGGCGGAGTCAGACAAAAATCGTAAAATGCTCTCCCCGACTAAAGTAACGTTTTTGCACACACCGTTATCCCACTTCTCCTACCTGTAGATGTAAGTCAGCTCCATGTTGTCCTGCGGTATCCGCACGTTGCACAGCTTTCACCGTGCAATAAACGTGAGTGAAAAGTGTGTCACGGTCTGTACCCTCTTTCGCACCTATGTACTCTCTTACCTGCTTGTTCTCTGAATTCTCCTGCCAATGCCAGAATTTCTTCGCCGCACGTTGAATTATTTCAGTGCTCAAATCCAACTGCAGAAGGATCTTCACATGAATGTTTTTTACTCATTCTGAATTTTTATTCCGTGACCTCCAAGCCAGCTAGCACCTACAGTTTCACATCCTTACATCCTATCATCGACTCCATGAGAAAAGGCAACTTTTAACCATGTTGACGCCTTCTTTGAACGGTTCAGAACGTGCATTCGCTATCCCTGCAAACGAGGCATGGCGTGTGAGGGAGGCGGATTGCTGCGCTACCTTGGCAGTCTTTCCCACGAAGTGATGCCGTTCTGAGCCGGTATAAACCGAAAGCTGGGAAAGCTGATCTGGCTGCTGTCCAGCTATGGCGTGAATTGGTTCAAGAAAATAGGGACGTCAAGTTCATTTTTATTCAACAAATGTAACCTACAATAATAATAACAACACAATAATAATATAGCCTCAGCATACTAGGAATGAAGTGACTGTTCAATAATACAGGCGCTAAGGCAGTTGAGAAAGAGGACGGTAGAGGTGAGGGGGGAGGAGGGAGCACGTCGTAAGTTGGAGGCTCCCAGCGAGGGTTTTGTGAAAAATTGTTGTTGTTAGTTTTTTCTTGGACTGTCACGCTTCAGGCGCGCTACTACCCGGCCCTCTCCCAGGAAATTGAGAGAAGTTGGGAAGATGGTCGCTAGGATGGAGATGGGGAAGGAGAGGTTGTATCGTCAGAGGAAGAAATTTTTAGAGGAGAAAATTTCGAAGGGGGTCTACAGGGGAAAATTTAGGTACTACTGAAGAAAATTTCTGGGGAGTAGTGCTTTGCAAACACTTCCCCAATGCCGAGACGTGCCCTAGGTAGTCGGAGTTAGAGTTAGTCCGCGCCTATTTTTTTGCTCGTCCGTGCGTTTTGATGAGGTACTGTTCGATGAATATTTGCTGTGGACGAGGGTACAGACGAGCAGAGAATGGGCGGCGTTTGACCGGATCTGATGGTCCCGCCCCCAAGTACCTTAGCGCCCTTTATCTTGAAACTCCATTCATCATAAAGATTCTCCTATTGTAAGAGTACATTAATGGGAATGTGGAAGTGAGAGACAGGTAGATAGAGGGACATATCACCTTCACGATTAGACCAGCACAAAAACGGAGGATTTCAATGAAAAGGAAATGTTCACGACGAGACACATTATGGACCTTGTTCAATACCCGTGTGACGCTATCTTTGTTGATATGTGATCCGTCCTGATTAGGGGCATACACGGTGTAGTTAAGTATACAAAAACGAGAATACTACAAACCCAAGGTCTAGGGTACTAAGGACTACATACAAGGGGAGATGCTAAGGGTAAGTACTATGCGGCAGTATTGTTCTCCACGGCATTCGACCCGTTAGTCGCCTTTTCCTGGAGCAACTCTTGTTTCGGCTCCTCATTCGCGACAGAAGTCCCATGGCTGCACATCAGCTGAAAAGTCAGAATTGTAGGCTGCAGAAATGCTAACACTTACGAGGAAGGTCGTTCAGAGCGCGCCTCGCTTTTTCAAAATGGTTTTTTTTGCATTTTGTAGGGGCTTGCACATAGACCACAGAAGTGGAACTTATACCTCCCTCATCCCATAGACATTTATGAACGGAAGGAAAGTAAAAGGTGAACAATGCAAAACGTCACGCTCTGCGGGAATTGAACCATCAACCCAACCATTACAGTCGGAACGAGAACCCTCCACGCTATCCACTAGGCCATCCACGACGAAACGATTCTATGGAATGACTCACTTTTCAGCACGTGCCACAAGTAAAACCCCGTACCCCGATTATTTTTCTCCTTGATTCCGATAGTTCCTTTATAGGGACCTTCCACTCAGCAACTGGTCAAAGTTTCAAGCTTTTTACATCCCATAGAAGCTCGAAAGGAAGCGATTACATGGATTTTTTCGCTCCTTCTTGGGGTTCGTGGGGCCTGCACGTGACCAGCGAAAATGAGCCTATTTTTGTGGTCCATGTGCGAGGCCCCACAATATGCAAAAAACCATTTCGAAAAAGCGGGGCACGCCCACACGCTGAACGACCTCCCTTGTTAGCAGAAGCGGGGCACTTCCGAAAATGGGTTGCACTTCCGCGAGCGGTAGGCGTCGCGGTTTTGCAAGATGTAAGGTTTCAACGATTGCAGTCATTCGTGTACATATGACTTACCTGAACCGGATATCTGGAAGAAAAGGCCGGTTATTGTGCAGATGACCACGATTGTAAGAAAAACAATTTGCCATTCTTCCAGGATACCCTGAAATTTGAAGTTGCAGACGAAATATGAAAAGCTCATCAGTAAGGTTCTGACACATACACAACTACCCACCCGCGCTCCCCTTGCTGGGAGCGAGCGATTGTTGGCAGCGCGAATGGTGGAAGAGCTACGATGGGGCGGCCACACCCCACCAAGCCTTCCACCAATGGCGTTGGCGACTACCACACGCCCCAATAAACTGCCTTTATGCGAAAGCGATCGGATCATTCCATCCTCGTACTATGGAAGACAGCGCCAAGACGTTACTGAGAGCAAATGCCGCGTGTGGCCCAACCACATTATTATTCGGTGGAGCCTCATATAGGAAAGAGTGACTGAAATTCATCTATCGTTTTGGATATGAGAACAGCTGCTGCGTAAACCTGAAGCGATTTTAGGTTGCTTAAATCGTAATCTTCACAAGGGTACATGGCTTTTGCTTAGTTGCGTGATTCTGATTGCTGCTTTCCGGAAATTTCAATTATTCGCCATGCTTTTCAAAATGACGCGCTTTTTCCTTACTTGCCTGGATCATCCGTGTTTTCTTTTAACTTTCCACTATTTTTTTCCTCATTTTCGAGTTTATTTTTCATAGACACCACTATCTGATGGCTGACAGCATCCATCAAATATGCATGCAAAGCAAGTTTTTCGTTACTAGGCTCAACTAGCATAATTAAATGTAGCCCAGCGCACGCACCACCGCAGCTGTGAGATACGGTAGAGTGTATTGGAGTGCGGCACCTCTTGCACCCCTTATATCGCTTCAAAACTCGGGAGGGAATTAGCTGGGGAGAAAACCAGCACGGCTACGTCATTCACGTCTACCTGTCTGCACCCCCTTTCGCCTAGGTAGTGTCCAAAGTAGTCTTGGAATGTTCCCAGCATGTTTTGTGGGGGTGGGGAGCAGGGCACGCCATCGTTGTGATCATCACAACGGGGGGGTCGTATTTGCCCGCGATGGAGGGGGGTCGTGAAAGCGCATGACCCATTGTGAAGTGGGAGAGCGGTGAGACAACTATGGGTGAGTCGATAATGATTCAAACTGCCCAGTTTGAATGCTAATTGTTCGCGGTCAGCCGCACGCAAACAATTCAATTCACACGCTCATGCAAAGGCATTGGAGCGCGCTATTTTACGACCTGGAGCCAATTTCAAGCCAAACACTCGAAAAGTACCCCTCTTTTGAACACCCATAACTTCGTTGAAAGTAAAGCTCTCGGAGAGGGGAAAGTGGGAATGAGTGGAGCTAGGTTGGCTCTTGTTACCTGAATTGAGCGATTTCAAAAACATTCCTTTCTAGAAATTTTCCCCCGTTGTGAGCCTTGCGTGATCACGGGTGGCCAGAAAATTTATCAAATTTTCCCTATCCTCCTATCAGTTTTTCCGAAGTTTCCTTCTGGTTTTTCCCCAAAATTTTGCTGTCGAGCGGGGGGGGGTCGTCAGGATTTAACTATCATTTTCAACTATCGGAAATAGTAGTTGTATAGATCTTTGGCAGTCCCTCTCTCAACAACAGCCAAATACGACCCCCCCCCTCGCGGTCAAATACGACCCCCACCGCGTTGTGATCAAACGATGGTGTGCCCTGGTGGTGGGGGACCGATTTCAGTGTATGGAAGAAAGTGCCGTTTATGCTTGTTCTCTCACGCCGAAATCGCCCACCGCGTACTATCTCGGTGAGATGCGCAGGCGAGCAGACATGACGTGCTAGCGTATCCCCCCTCAACTACCTCTGCCCCTTTTCCCTCCCAGTATTGAACCCCTCAAAAGCTATACACATTTAGGGGCTGCGATAAGCCTTATTAGGGCCATTTTAGACCTAACTGTCTTGATTGGCTGTACCAGAATAGAAATTATTTTACCTGTTTCGTTAGGGCGCCGATTTCATAAGGAGCGAGAGATGATGCGATCTGAATATTGCGGATCATTTTTTAGATATAATGTAGTAACACGGTAGTATTAAAAATTAGTTTACCTGCGCCCAAATCCTACTGAAAGCAGCGATGGCGGCTGTTTGGGAAGGAGCAATTGATACGACACTGAAAAAGATGGGCTAATTTCGTGAACAGTGTCGCAGTGGGATCGTTTTCAAGCCTCTATTACTTCAGGGGGAAACGCCACACGAAAGGTCTTTACATGTTGAAAGTGTGCGTAGTACATGATAGAACGCGAGCGGTTGCGGCGCGTAAATACTGCATTCGTCAGAACTGATCGGTGCAGTCAGGCAAAACAATAACGTGGACCATAACTGATCACAGAAAGTTGTCTATTGGTGAGGAAAGTCGTATGGTCCTTACCTTGTGTTATAACCCGGGATATATCCAGAGACGAAAGCCATAGCGAAACAGATCAGTATCACAGCCGTCCATCTGTACGTGCAATCACAGAAACACAATAAACCGAAACAAATGGCAAGTCCGAGAGATGCTGGAAATAGAAAAGGTGGAACCAACGGTATCCCAAGTGGTTAAGAATACCCCCAATAGTGTCACTGACCGCTGGAGTTGCATGCTTTGGTGACGTTGGTGAATCCCAACCAATTTCGCTTCTTCGATTCATCAGCAAAACCGGCGTACAGGACCTTGGAGACAAACTGACAGATGAAGGGCAGCGCTGAGAGAATCCCGTTCTGAAAATGAAGTTCAGAAGTAATGTCAAGGGTAGGCGTGACTGCTCCTTCGCTGTGGACTATGCCTCGAATTGCAGGCGCGCACGGGAAGGTGAGGTGTGGAGTAGGTGAAATGGCCGCGTCAACACAGCCTCCACCCCCCCCCCCTCCTCACAAGATTCCTCCTCTAAGAGGGCAACATCACTAGTTGTGATTGTGGGAGAGTCGCGGACTAGCCCGCATTTTGTTTTCCTTTTCTGAGTTACAATCCCGAGGTGTCGAGTGTGGCGGGCGGGGGGGGGGGCTACTATAATATAGCAGCATATGGGGCAGGAATAACTCTGGAGGAAATTACGACCGGACCTTTCTGGACCGCTTTTCGTCAGCATTTCCTAACTTGCTAACAATTTTCTAGTTTTCCCGGAATTCCCCGAAGATTTTCCTCTTAATAAATAAATAATAATAGTATGTCAACAAATTTTTCTCAGCCCAAATCGAAGATTTTCCTCTTAATAAATAATAATAACTATTCAATACAATTTTTCTCAGCACCCAATACGACCCCGCCCCCCTATTGGGATTCCCGATGTGACCCTGTCTGCAATCGAGCGGGCATTGTATAGTATAGGTGAATAACGGAAAACCAGCGAGTGACAGTCGAATATTCTCAATGCCCGCGTAACTCCCAGAAGGCAACTACCAGATACGACCCCCTCTTCCAACAACATTGACCCCTCTACGTCTCTCCGCTGCCCCTCTTACTACAACATCCAGTGAAGCAAAAAAATCAACAGCTTTATTAGAAACATTTTTTGGACCAAATACGACCCCCTGTTGGAAAATCCCAACGATGATGTGCTCTGTCCTCTGGTGTGACCCCCTTCTCCATCCTACCTACGGTCTCCCTCAAGCACGGTCCTTGCCACCACTTTGCCAAAAATTCTGCCGTTTTCTGTTTAGCTCTTTGCGGCTCCAACTGAAGGTATACTTGAAATCCCTGAGATCGGGTAGGCGTGGCCGCATGTTTCAACTTAACCTGAAGGTGTCTATGCTTCTGGTGAGATATTTTCATCTTGACACAATTGTTGTCGTGTCTCTGTCCAACACAGAACAAGATGACAGTTGTCAAAGACTGGAATATTCAATTCCGTGCCCCATTCAAATGCCACGCCTACTCTGGCTCTGGGATAAGGAGTGTACATGTGGCGCACATGAAAAGTCGAGAAGAATCGGGAAAAGTCAGTAGCCAGATAAGACTCTCTTCCACAGCAACTAAGTACGACTCCCCGATTGGATTGATTCCTGCAGCGATGTTGTACACTGGAGCGGACTATACCGGTTCGCTCATCGAAGGATCTCGGAGGGACAGGATAGTGTCCGAGGGTCCATCATCGAACGCGCCGGTCAACGCACCAGTCTAGGTGGGATCGGGTCTAACCTCCGCATACGTGTGAAGTCGTCATTTCTTTCTTCAAAGCGCAGTCCACGCTAATTATATGGGTGGGACCAGGCCTGTAGTTGCACGTTTCTCGTTGATGTTCCCCAATTTCTATGGTTCGCAAACCCGATGAATGGCTTGCAGGTTCTTAGAGGTTGGCATGTGGACAAAGTGGATAAGTTAGAAGCTGTGAAGCGCGGCGGCTGAGACGAAGGGAAAAGGACAACCTGCTCGGTGGGTATGCGTGCCTGTTGGAACAGGCTTGCAACTAATAGGCAACCATATATAGTTGATATCGTCGCAATCAGTCGGGAGGGGGGGGGGTGTGAGTCCAACCCGGCTGTTTTCTCAACCAATAGTGAGAGGCTCAGAAGGAAACAACCACTGGTAGATATGACGGATGGGGGTGCGGAACTCTTTCTGGGACCACCCCAACTGATTGCACGATATTAACTACAGGCGCCATGGAGAAGCGGTTTGGCCCTTTCACCGTCAGGACTAAGCACACCGATTAAAGAGAGTCTTTCCATCGAATAAATTTGCTCCACAAAGCAGTAGAATAAAGATGGCGATCTCCCCAGAGGCCTGAAACTGGTCATTCATAACCATGGAATGAAAACCCCCTTATCAGTGCATTTACCGTTCCTATCGCTTCAGAACCGTCAACAACAGATCTTTGATGCCCCGAGAAAAAAGGAATTGTACTTACCGACGTCAAACTCATGTTTAGGACAGTTTTATAGTAGAGCGGGAGATAAGTGACAGTTCCGACGGTGATGAAATTGTGGGCAAATGCACTACCAGCAATAGACCACACCACAGGTGACGACAATAGTTGCGCCCAGTTGGCACGCTGAAAGATCATTTGGCTATGGTTCGTAGCTATACCGCATATTATTTGACGTTGTTCGGCTTCGGAGGGGAATTTCGCACCTTCGCTAATTCTTTTCGTTGGTTCATCTAACACGTTTCGCTTTGGTTCATCTGTAAACTCCTGTGACTGCGAAATTGATCGCGTGAGCCACTTTGGTCTCAGGAATTTACAGGGTTTCACGAGGTGACCTGTACAAGCTCGCCTGAGTTTCATTAGGTGCCCCCACCAAGCCATACTGCGTCTTTAATTTTTTCAAAGTACCTGCACACGAGGTCGCCGACCGGCTGAGTTCGTGATGATTTGAATTTCTGCGTTAGTGATGCCTCGGGCATTCGCGGGATCATCAGCAACAAAAACTTGCCAAAGAATGCAAAGCAGCACACCAAGAATACCTGAATCCTTTGCAATTCTAGAATTTGGCAACGTTAAGCAGTGAGGGTGGGAGGGTGCGAGGGAGGGGCGAGCGAAGCGAGACGGCATGGCTACAGACACATTTAATCTACGCCACCCGCACCATCTGACCTCAGATATTACCATCACGCTGTTGGAAAGTTTTCGACAAATACGACGCACACTTCGCCCCACTACACCACCCGAGTTGCTGCAGGTTAGGACTACCTTTGCCATCCATGCGGGAACATGTTTGACTTATGCAAAAGATGTTTGCCTGGAGGGAGGGGGGGGGACGAGCAGGTGTTGTAGACAACTTCGGCCAGATTTCGGTCGAAATACGTAGTTTATGTATTAGCGCAGCCAGTTAATAGGTTCGGGGGCAGCGTCCTATCAACGGTCGGTGGGACAACGACCCCCTCATAGTAAGCTCGCCCATAACTGTGCCCCTCCGATCCTCATCCCCCCAAAATTCCTACTATTTTCGAAAGTTTTCCTTTCGAAAAAGAACGCAGTTTCCCTCGCAAAAACTGCCATCGACGCGCGAGGGAAGGGGGGGGGGGAAGACGCAACGAAAAATTTTCTTGTCGCGGTTCATACAATAACATTCGCTTTCACATGCAGAGGCAGGGACAGGGACGCGGGTATGCGCGCGGACGGGCAGCTCTGGTCCACCATTTTTTGTGAGGAAGACGACAAGGATGGTGGAAAATACGAGATAGTGGCCTGATAAGGCCAGTACTCCCTGCGCACACGAGCGTCTGCCGCGAAACGCTAGACCCCTCCCCTATGCGGCTAAATACCGCCCGTTGTGTTCCCGCAATGGACAGTGATTCCGAACCAGCGCCAAGTCTTACCGGCACCTATTCCAGTGGGAGGAAGTAAGCGAAAAATTGCAAAACCTCACCGTATACATGAAAGGCCATCGGCCAACCACCCATGAACGGCACTTGACACAGCTCAGCCGTTGCAAACATTGCAATCACGACAGATAACTAAAAAGCATGAGTCTTCTGTGTATTTGGCGGGGCGTTCAAGCGTTTGCGGAAGCGCTGCGGCAACCATGACCAGCTACTCTCTGATGTCTGGGCGCCAGCAAAGCTCAACTAAGATTTTTGCTAACTACTGAGGTGAGTAAGCCAGCTACGCAGAATCCGAGATGGAGACGGCATAGTCATCCGAGAAACGCGACTGCTCGTTGCAAGACCCATATACAGCATAGTGAAAGTTGTCCACAAAACCTGATTTCCTGTTGTCGCGATCGCTAACGCTGTGCTCTTCTCGGTTGGTGGGAACCAGTGACTCACAAGGACACTCATACATGGCCAGAGAAGTCCCTGAACAAACTTTGAAAGATTCTAATTGCAGCTAACCGTGCGCGGAGCCAGGAAGGAACAATGACAGGTCTGACTCCGCCCATATTATCACCCTCAGTCAACTAGTCTTCAACAAATTAAGTAAGTAAGATAGTAAGATAGTAAGTTGGAGTGATAAGTGTAGTAGTACCTGACCGAAACCCATGACAAACCGTAGAATGACCATGGGAATGGCTCCTAGGTAGGTGGCCACCGTTGGTGTAGCGAAAGTTCCTAGAACGTTAATGATGGCACCGTAGAGAACCAAACGTTTCGCTCCTATCCATCGATTCAGATTCTAAATTTGAAGCAGTACGATGACACATTTTTCGACTATGATTGTTTTGAAATTCAGCTGGTCTCAATTTATCCATATTTCCAAGCTCGAAGTGGTTGTCGCTTGGCGAGGTTTCATGAGGCGGCACCGTGCGGCAGCAAACACAGAGAGTTCGCCCTAACGTTGGCGCCGCTATATGTATCGCTCATATATATGGGTACATAATCCCAGCAACAATCATATAGTAGGAGTCGCTTGTCACTGCCCTTTCTCATTGGTTGGCTTTTTGTCATTAGCTGGCAAAGAATGGAGACTAATAAGCAAATCGAAATGGGTGAAGTGACTCCGCCCACATGACTAGCCTAGCGCAATATTCTTGCAAATTAACGAGGTAATGAATTGCACTACGCCAACCCTCCCTGAACCATGCTGGTAAGTCCGAAGGGACGGCTTATTTTAAACAAAGGCCTCCAAGAAGCGGAGGGTAGGGTAGGGGCCGCCATCAAATAACCACTAAATTCAACTATCGGAAATTGTAGTTGTATAAGGCTTTGGCTGCACCGCCAACTAGGAGGGGTCGACGAGCAACGACAACCTCCCCACCTCCTTCCCCGCACCCCGCCACCACTCAGTGTATGTGGACTAGCACACGTGAAAACAGGTGAAAAAGATCGCCATCAAAAAATTTTTTCTTAAACCAAATGCGATCCCTCGCTGGGGCTTTCTCAGACGTGCCCTCATTTCCAAGCTGAAGGTCAACTATAAACAGCTGTCCCGTATTGGAGCCGAGGATCTGGAGAGCGGTCGTAGTAATCATCCTAGAGAACTATTTAAAGACAAACTCCACGAAGTTCATGCGGGCGGGGTCACATTCATCACTGCGTTCCTCCTCATAGCGCTTTTAGACACAGTTCGGCTTGGTGGGGGCACCAAAAAAGTTTGCAGTGAAGCTAGTTCAGGCCGCCTTGTTAAGACCTGTGATTCCCTGTAACAATTCTCGGTAACCAAAGGTGCTCACCCGTACCATACCGCAGCTTCGTCGGAGTTTACCAGTTTCACCACAGTGTAACTTGGTAATTAACTTGAACTAGCAAACAGAACTAGCGAAAGTGCGAAATGCTCCTCCCAAGTCGAAAAGTCATCAAAGAGATGTGGAGGATGTCCAAGTGAGCTCGCCTCGATCAATGTGCAATGCACGATAGAGAAGGGCAAGAAACGGCCCGAACTAGTAACAAGGTGTAACCAGATTGGCGCCCCTGACTACTAAACCAGAACCCAGAAACATTTTTTTATTTTTTTTTGGTTTTGGTTTCGGTCTTTGAAAGCCCTAAAGAACAGGATCTACTCTGCTAGGGCAGTACTAACCTCTGTGACCAGAGTAGCGAGGAGGCCTCCAGCATAGAACGAGGCGAAGATTACGGCACGTTGTTGCGAAGTCCATGTGAGCTCACCGTTCTGAATAATTAAGTAGTAGATATACCTTGGATTCAAGCAGATTAACTAGAAATTAAAGTAGTGTGTCCAAAAATGCTGATTTATGGGCAAAATTCTTAGTCTCAGGGTTTCTTGCCCAGTTCTCTGGGTTCTTGTGATAACATTATGAGCGCCAACTGCGCCGTTGGAGAGCAGTTGTCATAACAAAACAACTGGTGCTCAGTTGAAGGGGTTGTAGTGAGCTTACCCCAGATTACTGTAAGTAAATAATCTCAGTTACAGTAACCTGGATTAATCCAGCAAGGACTCACATACTCGTAGACCTTTTCGTTGCCGAACTTGAGCACTTCACACTTTGCCTCGACAGTCGAGTTGTTCAAAGTTCGAAATGGCCGCCCTTCGGCGATTGCAGTCTCGTTCAGCATGCAGACCATCGCCTGGAACGTTGGCGATTGAGACGAGCGTACGACGAACGTGGAATTCCCAGAATCGGTTGATCTTACCATATTCAGATTGCTCCTCATGAGCCCTTCGATGGTGAGCGCTAAGGCGATGCAAATCGCCACCCGTAGTCGGACACTCTTCCAACTCCATAACCGAGTTGTCATCTGATAGTGTCCTGCAAGAGAACCTCAGAAACATCGGAAAAATTATTCAACAAATCTTCAGAAACACATCAGCGGAATTTGTGCCCAGAATAAGAAGACGATTCGCTCAGACTCAAAAGACACACTGCGCCATAACTGGGTGGAGAAGTAGGCGGAGACTCGCAACCATTGTGCCTTTCTCATTCTTTTATTTTCCTCCTCGCTACCGCATCAGAAGGAAGAACAGCTGTGAGAAAAGCGCAATGGTCGTGCCTGATCTCCGCCCATACGGTCATCGCGGAATGCGTCCAGATACACAGAATCGCGGAGTACATCAGGAACGCAGAATCCGGCCACATGGAGTCTTGGACTGCTCCTTCAAAGCTAGCAAGATCGCTGAACAAGCGAAATAACCGCTGTCAATAGCACATCAAAGCCGACCATGACTCGAAAAGGAACAAAATTATAGGTGATTAACCATAATTTTAGGACGAGCATGGTATTTAACCAGAATAAATTATTATAATTTTGACTGATACCCATTAATTGAGTACTATTAGCGGCGGCGGATTACGGTAGCGGTCCGAATACACAGCCACAGCTAACGATAGGTCTTGGTTGATTTGCAACAGCCCATTCATTTGAGATAAGGAATCATTGGACAAAGTCCATAAATAGAGCTGTACAATTTTTGTTCTATAGGAAAAACGGTGCTGCCAACGATGAAAGATAGGAAAAGACCACTACGAAATGGAGCGCATCTCGAAACTTCTGAAAGACGCTGATGGCTAGAAAGCGGTTGAACGAACCTTTTGCGGAAGGGGGGGGGGTGGATGCCACTTATGCAGAATCTGGAAGCGTAGTGGCATACGAATAGGCCCAAATTCGTACATAAATGTTACAAGTCTGTAGTTTACCCTCCCAGGCAAGACTGATACCAATTCATTTCACCCAGAGGAGACAGAAGGCTTCTTTGACCTGGGTGGGGATCTAACCACGCAGTCTTGAGCCTAGGGTAGCGTCTATGGTAAGCGACGCCACTTGCCACTGCACCCCGTGATAAGATTGGATGCTGCCTGGTAAATGCTCCCACGGGGTGAGAGCATTTCCCAAGTTTTAGATTTTTCTCTAGTACCTCTTACTTACGCACCACACCGCGATGAGACCTGTAGACTCTTCTCAAGTTAAGCGACGCTCGTATAGACGTGAGATGGGCGCAGTTTGACGACGGAGGGGGGGGGGCATTTTGTACTATCATTGCTTCCCTAGTTCCGGTTTACAAGTCTCACTCTGGCGAAACCTGTGAACTCTTGTGAAGCTGGAGCAAGCTCATCTAGCCATCATGGTAAAACCTGTCAACTCGAGAAGAGGCTGCCTAGATAGGTCGACACGTCGATGGGAAGTAGCGAAAGTGCAAAATGCCCCCACCCGTCGTCAAACTGCACCGTGAGATGCACTAAAAAATGATCACCGATGCCATAACTATCTTCCATCGAGAACATCAATGAGTACCGTTTGAGGTATTCTATCTCTGCAGGCGAGGAGCAGCTTGCAGGAGAAGGGCGCTTCAGCGGCAGCAAATGCAGCATGAAGCAGCGGCAGTATAGACGCAGGAATAAATGTCCCATAAATTACTGGGATTCACTGAGTACTGCCATGTGATGCACACGACAGTACGCTGGCCGTACTGAGGAACGTTAATAATGTGCACCCAGCGAAAGAATGCCAAAGCAAAGACGGAAACCGGGAATCAAAACTGATCTATTATTTCCCCATAAAAAACAGTCTTTTTGATACATTGAAAAAATGATTAGAAAATTCGTAGACTAGAGGGGAAAAATTCTAGTTCTGGTACATTTTTTGCAGACTAAGGGTCTCTGGAAATATGAGAAAGTAAATCCCACGAAATAGAGCATGAACTTGAGGCCACTGTCTTTACTGAGAAGTTCAGCATCAATGCGCAGAAAATCGGGAATCGGAACACCCATCTTTGCTCGCTCCATCCCTTTAAGGTTTCTTCGTTCACCCGCTCCACTCTGTAGACATAGAGGCTAAATTTTGAAGGGCGAGCGCCTTACGCGTTCATTAATCGCTCTAAACGGAAGAGGATACGCGTGCATCTTGGGCAAAAGCAAAAATTGTTCTGCTTGTGATACCTACATCGAAGGCACGATCCGCGACTCAGATATCAGAAGCTGGAAAATGGTAGGTTCTTCGGGAGGGTAGTGTGGTCCGCGACAAACAGCCTTGTACCGGTTTCGCGGCAGAAAAAAATGTAAGGGAGGGGCGCTATAGCGCAATATAAGTATATGTTGGACGTCATCCATTCGGTTCCAGTTACCCCGCCTCGCAGAATCCGCCTTCAAAGCCGTCTTCTAGTGAAAACACGAAGCTGGCAGGAGAAGAAGTCTTGACAAATTCGTATTGTGCGGTCTGTACGAGTTCCTATCGGGCCATAGGCTGTGCGATGGGGGCGTCAGTGGTGAAGATGGCGTGAACACTCGCAATCCCTATGAATATGGTAGCGCCGCGTGCAAACCGCGTACCTTCAATCTGAACGTGGCTGAGCGCTTGTGCTTCCCTTGCGTGCACCATATCACGTCATCCTCTCTTTACCCCCCAGATCTAAATTCGCGGCTGCATCGTCTCTGTTTAACAATCAGTAACACATGACCGTTGTCCTCCAAGTTGCACCATACTCCCACCTGCACGCCTAATCCCACTGTCCTGCTGCCCAATCGCTCTCCAACGCCATCTGGCCCCCCAACCGCCCCTCACTCCCCTCCGAGCTTACAGGCGACACAAGGAGTTTCAATCTCGGGCCACCGTACAGAACTGGCATCAACATCCGCCGCGCCGTTTTTCCCGATCCTAGGGTAGCCTCCTTACCCCGTGTTCTTCTTCCCCCTCCAGCCCGCTTTCTCTTCTGTCCTTTACTCCCGAGATACACCCCCAGCCACCTTGCTCGCCTCTACCCGCACCCACAAAAACATTCAACCTGCCCCAGAGGCGGGTGCCGGACTTCGGGCCCCCGCCCCTCCCCCCCCCCTACTATCTCACTGGCCGTATCGCATCGTGAGCTTTCCCTTACTCCCCGCATTCCGCACGGTCTGAAAGTTACCACAAGAATGCTTAGTTATCCACTGAAAATGCGAACTCTGGCCTTCACAGGGCTCAAGCAGGACATCGTGCCCACACCTCAGGTTTTTCGAGAGAGGGTTCAAGGGAGCTTTGTCTTCAGCAGGGCGCAGTCCTGCTGTTGGAGAGATTGTTTGCAAAAGTACGACACCTCCGTTTGACCCATCGACCCACTCTTATTCCACGCATTTTTCCCCGAGTTTCCCAATTTCTTGAAAGTTCCTGAGACTTTCTCCAGGATAAGTTCTTCGTTTTTTTTTTTCCCTGGGATCCCACAACCTGCGACATTGCCTTGGTCCAGAACCCCACATGGAGGATATAGCGCAAATGGGTATCGCAATGGGAGGTATATAGTGAGGCAACTGCGGTATCGCGCCCGAACTAGACCTAGGAACTTGCACGGACCCGTTTCATGCGGCTCTGGCAGCTCAGTGGATGCAAAAAGCGTAAAGTGTGGGTCCAAGTCCCGCCTCGGGTTACGCCCCCTTGTCCATAACTTGGCGCCCTTGTGGTAATATAAAGAGTGATACATGATAGAAAAATAAGAAAACATGAACTAGTAATCGAATTGGAATTCACTGCTTAGTAATAGAGCCATCACAAATAGTGTAGTAATTGAATTGAAATGAGTAAAGGAAATGCCTTGAGATCAGCTAACTGTGCCAGCTCATATAGAGATCAGCTATTCCACATTCCTGGATTTCTCAACGAATAGGGTGAGGGGGAGAGAGAGTACATACTATGAAACTCTGCTCATTCGAATGTTTTACTCTGGGAACAGGTTCCAGACGGTTTTTCATGCGAACACATCATTTAAACTAAAATCGATAAGTCTGAAAGGCTGACTTTCCCAGATGAAAAAGGCTGGAACGGCGCATGATGAAGGGGGTGAGAATGCCACTACTAATAGACCACCTGGTTGGATGCCTCATTAGTAAACAAATCAATAAGAGGTGGCAGCGGTTTTTTGCTCAGGGGGGGGGCACCGGGTTCAAAGGGAGTCAGATCATCGGAACATTGGCCAATGTGTTTCTTCAGCAGCGGCACTCTTTGATCCCGTTATTGCCAGCTGCCAGTTGACCTAATTGTCCATTTTGGGAATAACAAGGGAGTGACCTTTCCAAAAAAAAACAAAATTCAGTGAAGGAGAAATGAAGAAGTAATGGAAGGGGGAAAATACCGCAACTAGGCGAAGTGGGGTTTTCACTACAGTTTTCGGAGATTTTTTCCAGTTCTGAAAGATCAAAGATCGCTCCGAAAGCATCACAGACCGGCAACACTTCATTGAAAGTCAGCAACGTTACAAAGTAGTTGCCACCGAGTAGCATGGATTACCCCGTAAACTGACTCAGCGCCAAAGAAAACGGTCCAAGCGTAGCAGAAATGATCAGGGTGGACCAAGTGGCTGCATGTGTGAAGCAGCTGATGCTCGTGTTGTGTAGTGTTGTGAGGCGCGACGCTGTGGCGACAACGCAGTATTGACCGGCTGGGTGGCTGCCTGGCTAGGCTGAGCAGAGCAGAGGACTGTTCGGGCCGACGATCAGCTGCCTAACTACAGTTCAGCGGCCGATTACTTGACTCGTTTATCAAGTCAACAATTTTTGCATAAAAGCGTAGTAACCTGTCTATTTTTGTGGATATTTATAGTCTTGTTTGCTGCGGAAGATGGGATGTGTCGGGCGTAGTCAGTTTGGCGCTGCGCCAAATCCATTTTCAGCGAGCAAGCGAGATACTGTATCATCTCCTTTTTATCAGTCATTTTCCTACAGTTTTCATCGCTCAACACGCTTCAACAATTGATGGGAAACGAGCTGGCAGCGCGCCAAACCCCACCTCACTGGCACGCCCCTTCATCTGCAGCGAAGAAGGCTTTATTTGGGCAA